GGTGATCAGACCAGTGTCCTCGACCAAGCCATCCGTATCGTTCAGGCCTCCATCGATGTCCTCACCGAGCTCGGGTATCTGTCCAGTTGCTTGCAGATGATGGCTCTTCTCCAGTCTATCAAGTCAGCTCGCTGGCCCACCGATCCCCCTGTTTCGATCCTCCCCTCGGTGGACATTGATGCCAAGAATGATACCCCTCTCTCCAAGATCAGCTCCCTCACTCGTCCGCAGGCGATGCAGTTAGCTAAGAAGCTCTCTGTTCCAACCAGCCAACACAACCGCTTCGCACGCGCTGTGTCAATCCTCCCCAACGTATCCGTCTCCATCGACGAGGCCACCGCCCTCTCGGTGACAATCGGTCTGAAGCGACTCAACCCGCTTGTGGAGAGGGAAGCCCGCATCTATGCCCCCAAGTTCCCCAAGCCACAGACGGAGAGTTGGTTTGTCATTGTTGCTGATGTAGCCCGTGACGAGGTCATGGCCGTGAAGCGAGTTGGGTGGACTACGAACCCCAACCGCAAGCTTCAGAGCGGTGGCAAGCCAACGGTCAGAACAAGCATCAAGCTCCCTCCAGCCGAGGCTGGACAAGCTCGCAAGCTGGACGTCCTTGTCATCAGCGACGCCTATCCAGGTCTCGAGTACCGGGTCGAGGGTGTTGATATCCCCGCGCCACCAACGGTCGACGATGAGGTTCAGTCAAAGAAGGCGGCCGCGTCTGGATCAAAGTGAATTTAGTCTATTTATGTATTGACACAATGGAAGTGGTGTTTCTGGGGGTTAGACCGAGACTCTGGCGGCGACCCATATGCTACATGTAACAAAGACGATGACATTAACCCAAGAGAGAAGATGATGAAAGAGAAATTTGGGTATAGACCCGAGAGCTAAGAAATAGAAAAGACAAAATAAAAAAGAAACGTCTCGTGAGAGAAAAAAGGCCACAACAGCCGTGGCCAAGACACACAAAAAACACCCCCCAATGATTCCCCTTCCCCCCTATTATATCCCCTGAAGAAATGTCGTGATGCAAGCTTGACCGCGCCCGCCCAGCCTCATGACCGATAATCCTCCAACTCCTAGCGAAGGAAAGACAAACAAAACATGAAACGCCCGATGCGTCATGAGCAAAAAAAAAAAAAAAAAAAAAAAAAAAAAAGAAACAAAGAAGAAGAACAAGCTATATCGTGGGGTAACCAAAAAGACCAGTAAACATGAGAGAGAAAAAAACACCCCAATGCTTTAAACCCGCAAAACCATTCCCCCTCCCAAAAAAAGCAGAACCAGAACCAGAATCACCGGGTATCACACAGCATGCGCTCGCTTGATCCATCCATCCTGAACTCTTTCGCTCGTCTCGTAGTTAGTTTGGTTGTTTTTGTTGCTTCGTTCGTAGACACGCCATCCTCGAGAGGGGTTACATCGCTTCACCCTCAGTGTCCCCTCTAGTCTGGCGCGTTTGACGCAGGGTCCTTTAGCAGCACTTTTTGCGCTCCTTGTGATTCCAGCCGTCCGGAAGGGTCTGTTCCTGGGTTCCGGCCTGCTCGACGGTGACGGCTGGCGAAAAACCCGGGGAGAAGAGCCAGCTGCGGCGATCACGGCCGACACGGAAGCTGGATCGAGGGTTTGCGCCGTCAAAGTATCCCCCGTCCATGCCCGTCTCGTAGCCCGGAGTACCGGGGATAGCAGTAGCAGTGAGGAGAGCCTGCTGCATCTTGCGGTTCTGCTCGACGAGCTTACGGGTGACGACGCGGAACACCTCTTCGACACCCTCACCCGTCTCAGCGCTGATCTCGTGACATGCATCCCAGCCTACTTCTTGTGCCCAAAAGCCCGAACTACGCTTCGAACTAGGACTGCGGGGCTCGATGGTCGGAGGGGACATGGCGTGGGAGCCCAACATGGGCGTAGGGTCGCGGTAGGGGGTCGCGGTCGGAGGCGGAGTGCTGCCCATTCCCGGGGCGAGGTTCTCGGCGACGTAGGCGATGCAGCGCTCGAAGGGGACCTGACGTGCCGAGGGGTCGCGGGCGACGATGTCGGCTTTGGTACCGACGACGTGGAGGACGACGTCGTTGGGGAGATTGCGGCGGAGCTCGGTAAGCCAGACGCCCATCTCTGCGAACGAGTGGGCGTCGGTGATGCTGTAGCAGAGGATGCAGGCGTTGGCGCCACGGTAGTAGAGGCGAGAGATGGATCGGAAGCGTTCCTGGCCGGCTATTTCTGTCAGTATCCCTCATGAGAGGAAGAGTAGGAGGTGACAAACCTGTGTCCCAGATCTGCAGGCGCACGACAGTGTCCGAGTCAGAGTCGACGACGCGCTTGGCGAGGAAGCTCGCGCCGACGGTAGAAGTTATCTTTGCCGGGTCAAAAGCGCCCTTGCAGTACCTCATGACGAGGGACGTCTTGCCGACGCCCTGGGCGCCGAGGACGACGATCTTGGCCTCGAGCGACGACATGATGAGGGGGCGCCCAGAGGTGAAAGAGGAATGTCCCTCTGGGTTTTATTTGAAAAGGAAAATTAATTAAAAGAGAAAGAAAAAACAACAACTGAGTCACACGAAAAAGAAGAGGGAGGGGAGAGAGGGAAGAAAGAAGCAAAAAAGGAGAGTGAGAGTAAAAAAAAAAGGAGGGTGAGATTCTGGGTGAGGGGGGGTGTGTGTGTGGAAAAGAGAGGGTAAAAAAAAAAAAGATAATGGACAAAAAGGAAAAAGAGGGCCGCAACAACAACAAATTTCGGTCCTCGTGGTTGATGTTGGTGGTGGTGTGTGTGCCTGTTTTGTTTTGTTGGTTAATAATCCAACATTGCGATAACTTAACACAAGGCTAATCGACGAGGCTACCAAGTCTTTTGTCTCTTCGAGAGAGAGGAATGAGAAGAGGGGAAGAAGAGAATCACGACCCATCTCATGGTGTTGAAGAAGAGGAGCAATACACAACCCAAGTCGGGAAAAAGCAAATCCTCACTCGCAACCACCATCAACAACGGCCACGGCAGCGGCGGCGATACCCGGACAAGCAAGTCGTCAAGATTAGGCATCAAGAGAATGAAAAGTTGATTTAAAACATGTCTCGACAATTGAACATTTCAACTCAATTAAACACCCTTTACTTCATCACACACTCTCATGATATTATCCTCATGTTCTCTCTCCCCCTGTCGCTTCAGGCGCGAAGACCAAACCCCCCCCGCTGACGACATTCGCTAGCGTCCCAGAGTAAAAATGGGGGAAAGCTTCACGTGGTGGTTCTCAACTACGTCATTCATCGCCAATCGACTCTCTTGGTTCCTCCACCACCTTGAGATGTTTAGAGACATTCAGCTATTGCTCGACAAAATAAACAATTGCTAGCTTAGCTTATTATTCTTCCTCACCGCCATCTTGATTGACAGGAGACACAAGCTCAGCTCGTGAAATGCCACCATCATGGGTAAAATCCACCATGTGGGCTGAAAAACTACGGATACAAGATCGGCCATGCATGCCATCCCCATGGATGTTTTAATGTACGTGCTCACAACATGCATCCTGCAGTCGAGGCTCATGCTCAATGACATCTTGCCCGCCAAGCTGCTCATCATTAAAAGCACCTCCTCACTCTTCTTATCTTTCTGTTCCACCAAAGGAAAAAACATGCGTCGCACTGAAAAACATTCCTCGGAGCGACCGCCTTCCCCCGCAACTGCGCCCCCTGGTCTGCCCGCCCAATCTTGGGCCCGTGATCCACAGGGGGTGAGAAAGAACTCGCATGAGAGCCCATTGTTTGTTCCATCGACTCTGTCTCTGAACCAGTCAGTGGGGAAACATGGACGGGCGTGACATGCCCTCAGCCCGTCACGCCCAAGACAGCATGACACACAGTCAGGGGCTCAGCTGGTCCAAGATCGCGATCTTATTAATAACAGCACCCAACATGAAGCGGACATACCCATCATCTTGGTTCAACTCCCCGGAGATTAGCATCCATGCGTCGGGCAAAAACGAAAAGAAAGGGAAGGAGCCAGTCGGTCAACTCCCTTCCCGATGCCCAATAAGCTTCAAACGTTCCCCACAATCTGGTACCTACTCAGCCCTGTTTACCTAAGACTCCGAGCTTCCCCAGACTTTCATATCAACAACACCACCAACACCACGACACAAAGAATCATGAGATGATGCAAAAAATGGCAAAAAGAGAACAATTGGAAGGCGTTGGGATTGCTCCCGCCAGGGCTTGAACCTGAGACCTTCGCATCACCGATATTACAGTGTAAACTGAAGTATTAGTACGACGCTCTAACCAACTGAGCTACGGAAGCCGACCAATTGTTGAAGGATGGCTTCAGTAACACAACTTAAAGCGCTCAGCACTGGATGACTCCTTCCTCAGGCTTTCTCACTGTCCAGTTGATTCAACTTTACATGAGTAGATAAACGGCAAAGCTGAGTTATCCAGCTGGCTTTGAATCACTGTCTGTCTCGGTAAATGGATGCTCAAAACACCGGTGGGGTTGTTTGAGAGTGACCAACTACCCTGCAGCTTGTTGTCGTACTGATGATATTTGGTGTCTATGACAAACCCATCAAGAGAATTCTACCAGAAGAAATGATCCTTGGGTCCCTCCCGTTCTGGGTATATCAGACATATCATTTTCCTGAGTATGTGGTGTTGGCATCACCACGACAGACAGAGACTTGACTATCCTCAGCAAATCCTCCCTAGTATCTCATCACAAGTTTATTGCAGAATTATCTCATGAATGGAAGAAAACAATACAAGGTAAAACAGGACTTTCACATAACATGTTCTACTTCATCATCTGATTCGCATGCTCAAGTATCAGCCAACGTCTCACGTAGGTCATTGTGTTAATCAATGGGTGAACAACCACAACACACATGCGATGAACTTGAACCAATGCGATCCAATGCCTACAAAGGCGAGATAAATTATAAAAGATAGTCATGCAGAAACGCCAACTCCTGGTTGGCCCGTCTATCTGTCGTCCTCGCTAAATATAGTCGTCATGTTCCTGATTCATATACGAACCCTCGGATTCCTCTAAAACCCGACGGCTTCTTGTCCTTTTTTGCAACGCTCTCCTCTCGTCCCTTATCCTTCGAGTCCTTGCGAAGCCTGTTGTGTGAAGCGCTCGCAAACAGATCTGAATGGCTCCTGGCCATTAGCCGTCCTGAATCGCTACGGCCAAACCGCTGGTCCGGACTCATCGAGAGCGACCCCGAAGCAGATCCGTCCGTCCCTAGCGGCGACCCCGGTCGATGAGCCCAACCACTTGACTTGGGTGACAATGGTGTCCCTGGTTTCTGATCCAGAGGCGGCGTCACGTTGTATGCTGTGCCCTCCACATCCTGGCTCGACAGCACACGCTGTGGTCGTGTCTTCATCATGACCGGACTTGTCGACATGGACAAGCTTTCGGCGTCCCCTTCTGATGCATTTGACGTCTCGATTCTGAGCTGCCCTGGCGTCGCCCCTGTCTGCATATCCAACAAAGACGACTGGAGAGCTGTGTACTTGCGCATTAGGAGGTCGTATTGCTTCTGCAGCTCAGCTTGCTTTTCTCGGCTCGCTGCGAGCAGGGCCTCGATGGCTTCTTTTCCTACAGGAGGAGTTCGGCTCCGCCCTTCTTGTGCTTCTGACAGTCTGGCTTGTAGTGTCGCCACCTGAGATTGGAATAACTTCCTGCTGCGTTCCACCTCAGCGTCGCGACTGGCGAGCTGCAGCGTCAATGCCTCGACCTTGCCCTCGGCTTCTATTGCTGTGTTAACAGCCCTCTGCCGCTCAAGCTCCTTGGCCTGGTGGTCCCTCTCAACCACTGTCAGCCTCTCCACCTCGCTCTTGAGTCGATCAATCTCAGCACTGTGGATCTCAACAGATTGCATGTTTTGCTTTGAGTTGAGCTCCTTGACTTCAGCCTCGCAAAGAAGAACACGCAACTTGTCGCGCTCTGCCTTGGAGCCATCCAACTCCTTTTGAAGTATTTCAAAGTCCGCCTTGAGCCGCTTCGACTCGTCACGTAACTTCTTGAGCTTGGTAGAAAGATCAGCTTCCCACTTCTTTGCGAGAGCTCGACTCTTCTCTGAGTCTTTCCGGACCTGCATCTCGGCCTTCTTGGCTTCCTCAAACCGATGCTTCAAGTTGCGGTTCGTGATGAGGAGATTTTGGGTTTCTGCCTCTGTCACCGCCTCTTCCATATGTCGTCTTCGCAAGTCACCAATGTGAGCCATGTGCTGCTGCTTCAAGAACCTTTCAAAGTTGAGATCGTTTTGCAGGAGAAGTATCTGGCGTTGTAGGTGGGCAACTTGACTGCTCGTATCTGTTAGTGAGAGAGGCGAGCTTATTGTCGGCGGTGCTGCCAGTAACGATGCGCCGGGTCGCTCCGCCACCGATTCTTGGTGACTGAGTGATAGTGATGGTACGCTGTCGTTGGCCAAGGACTGGTGGAGACCTGACTTGATGGCCTTGTTGGACTGGATCATGTCCTGGAGTTGCGTATGCGACGATGATTGTGTAAGGTGAGGCGGTAGAGTTGGACTATCAGCACTCGGCTCTCTCATCTTGGCATCTATTGAATCGCGGGTGGACGGGTGACTTGACTGAGATCCTTGTCGCATCAAAGCTGAAGGCCGTCGACTGCTTGCTAGTGACTCCATACTTGCGGACTGAGGGAGGTGATATCCATCCTGGTTCTCAGTCGTCGCCAAGCTGAGTAGTGCTGAATCCTGGCTATCCTTGGCAGACCCCTCGCTCATCGGTGCAGCTCCGGGCACAGGAATAGAGGGCAAGCCTTGTCCAAGCACTTGGTTGGATTCAGTGGTGAGGCAGAGACCCATGCACTCAGCGACGACCTCGGGAGCTTCGCTCTTGATCCAACGTCCAAAGTCCGTCTTCTCTGAGTCAATGGTGAGGGTGTAGAAGTTTGGGTGAAGCAGGTGGCATCTTCGGAATCTCTCTGACTGATCCCTGATTTCTGTAGGTTGCACTTCCATATCGTTGGCGTTTGCAACGTTCGCATGTCGCAAGTATCTCTGAGGCTTCCGGATGTAGTCCATGAAGTTGATAGGATACAAGCCATAAAGGACGGTGTAGTAGTTTTGAAGGTGGTAGACAGGATGATCATCGATTTCGGCCTGGTAACTAAACACCTCCCAGCTGGCTTGATCGGCATCCTCAGTCTGTGGTTCAACTATCCCTGCGCGTTCCCGCGACCAGAATAACAATCTTGCGTAAATGTTGAACAAGGTAGGAAGATGTGGGACCAGCGAGCTAGGCATATGCGGTAAGAGCATGATGAGGACGGTCAGAGCAGCCGACACAAGGGTGGTTGAGGTATCTTGTTGCAGGCATCTGAGGATATCACCAAACAAGGGTGTCTGGAGAATCTGGTGAATATGAGGAGGTTGGCTTTGGAGGTAATCTCCCAGAAATCTCAAAACCGCCTTTCGATACTGTCTTTTGACAAAGTAGCGGTCCAGCGCGGTGAATAGGTCCTTAATCAGGTCAGACAGTCGGCGCAGATAAGGTATTCAAAGACTAACCTTGGGATGTCTCTTCCCAAACTCAACGAGAGCCTCCCGGGTGATCTTTTCATTGTATTCAAGATTGGTGACTGCTTCGGTGGCAGCTGGATAGAGCCTTTCCATCCACCCTGTGAAAAGGCGGTCGATCAACGGGCTGGAGGCAAGGTCGGCATCCGAAGTCTCGTGGTTCTCCTCAGCAATAGACATGATCTCCATGAGGATGGCCAGAGACTCTTCTACAACGCCCTTTTCTGGATATCCCTTGGCCAAGATTCCTGAGCAAGAATCCCACCATGTAAAAATGCGCTCTGGTGTTCGAAGGACAGACAGCAGCTGTCGGAGGATGCTCAGCCAAGGCGCATAGATAACCGGCGTGTCCTTGACGTGCTTGTCAAAAATGGACAAGAGCTCCTCCTGGAGGCGATCGGCCGCAGCTTCATCGTGTTTCTGGTGTCGGCGCAGATAGGCGTCGATGGTTTGGGTCAGTTCGTCGGGGAGTGAGGCGGTTGGCTCGGCGAGGAAGGCGACGATCGCCTTGGACAGATCCTTCAACGACCTACACAAGTGGAGATGATGGTCAGCGGATGGCGGAGATGTCGCAGGAGTCAAAGGAGGAGATGGAATGGACGATCATGAGGTCGAGCTGCAGGACAAGGCCCTCGCGACGACTTGCGATGGAAGAATTTTAGGGGTCAAGATGACGTACGCCGATGAAGCCATGACTGGCGTGACGGCCTCATCCGGGCTCGCGAGACTCAAGGTGAGCAGACCGAGGCGATGAGGCCCGTACAGAGTGGATCTTTAACTAAGTTACTGAGGCTCCCGGGGGTTTATTCTGGGTGAAGCTATTCGGTCGCTCTCGGCGTCGGACATTGAATGGATGGACAGCTGATTTTGGTGCAGGCCAGGTGGTCCGTTTCTGGCTGAGCTAAGTGGGGGATAAGCCTCGGAGGGCAGCGACGACGACTGAGAATTAGCGGGAGGTGGCCTGGGAGGTCACTGAAAGCAGCTGGTTGCCGGGCGTGGCAGCGGCCAGCCACAGGGGGTTTCAGTGGCTAGGGGTGCTAAGCGAAAATGGCTAAGCCTGAGGCGGCGGCAGATGACCGGTTGGTACCTTCCGTCTTCCGGAAGAGTGGAGACCTGCCTCACCTTGGGTGCGGCGCGGCGCGGATGGTACCTACAGCAAGGTACCTCGTCGACTCAACTTAAGGTGATGGGAGGATGGGCTGGGATGCCGTGCCGCCGCACTAATAACCCCGCAAACCAGAGTGGGCTAGTACTCTTTAGTGGGCGTATGATCGATGGATGGATGCACGGCAAAGGCCTGCGAGTTTCTCTGGCGCCCCGGCTGCTGGCGTGATGACCCACTCGAAGCCGTACGTCTTGTGGAATCTGTCCCAGAGGTGCCCATCTGACCTGGAATCGAGCCACTCGACTCTGACTCTGGCCCAGGCTGCGAGGGGAGGCATTGGCTGGTTGCAGATGCGTTGCAGTATTGCTGAGTCGCCAGAGGTCAATCCATCAAGTGAGGGGAAGAACATCCCTAGGCTCCCTTCCATTACTTAACTCGGCCTCCTCCTCCTCTTGTCCCTCCTCCTCTTCTTTCTCTTTCCCATCATCATCATCCAGATCAGATCAAAAGCCAATTCACCACCACAAACACCTCTCTAGCAGTCAGCATCGCCTTTTGTGCTTGCCTGCTTAATTCACCTACATACGCATACCCGCGACAAGATTCAGTCTCGAACCCTTCCCAAACCACTACTTAAACCGCCAAGATGAGTGCGAACAAGACCTCGGCCGTCTCTGACGAGCCCATTGACGTCCTTTTCGCTGTCCACGAGAAGTTCGATCTTTTGGACTTTGCCGGCGCGCTCGAGGTCTTCAACACTGCCGCCCACGACTTCAATGACCCTGAGAGTATGTGAACCCAATGGCGCCCCCTCTGACTTTTACCCCTCCCGCTGATCACAATCCCTCAACAGACAACAAGGCCTTCGAGATCACCATCGTTGGTCCTGAGCCCAAGGTCATCTCGGACCAGGGTGTCATCGTCGGCTCCCAGATCTCCTACAAGGAGGCCCACGACCGCCTCGAGGACTTTGATGTCCTCGTCGTCGTCGGCGGCAACTCCAAGCAGATCGTCGAGAAGGAGCTCGAGCCCCTCAGCCTCATCACCGACTTCTCGGAGCTCCAGAAGCGGGACCCTGCCCGCGAGCGTACCATCCTCTCCGTGTGCACCGGTGCCCTCTTCCTGGGCAAGCAGGGCATCCTCTCTGGCCTGTCTGCCACCACCCACCCCGACTTCTTCACCACCTTTGAGAACATCTGCAGTGATGCAGCCACCCAGAACCTCCAGGAGCGTACCGACGTGATCGAGGACGCCCGCTACGTCGTCAACAACCTGCGATTCGACCTCGGAGACGAGGACGAGAACCCCTACATCCGCCGAAAGTCCGATTCGGGACGCCGCCCTTCAAACGCCCGGTACGTAACAATTTCCTCTTGTGCTCGCACCCCCATCCCCGTTTTACCCCGCTTTGCCATGCATTAAGTTTGAGACGGTCAACTGACTTGGGTTGGTGTAACAGAAAGGGAAGCATGTCGTTTAAGGGCTCCAACTCGCGCCGCGAGTCAATCACTCGTCGTGCCGCGATGCGGCTTGGTGGCCTCCGTGTGGTCACCTCAGGGGGTGTCAGCTCTGGCATTGATGCAGCTCTGTATCTTGTCAGCGCTCTCGTTGATGATGCGTGTGCGGCGGAGGTGGCCAGAGTCCTTCAGTGGACCTGGAACAAGGGCGTTGTCGTCGATGGTCTCGACGTCTAAGATCCCTGGCATTGAGTGCCGACTTGTATGAGTTAAGAGTTTACGACGGGCTCAGGTATAGCCCTGATTTGAGACCAATGTTTTTTGTAATGTAGTTTCACGGAGACGAGCGGGAGAAACCTAAGAAAATCCCAAAAAGACTAGGAGCTCTCTATTCAATTCAATTTCTGTTTTGGTCACACTTTGACTCTCGGAACGATCTGCACATGCTGGCGGGGTCGTGGAAGTGGAATCTTGGTGTCTGAGTGAAAATGTGGAGGTGGAGGCCACAAAAGGCGCCAAAAATGCCACAAAAAGCGGGCACCGAGGGCAATGACGTGGTGTAGCTGGCCCCACACAAGCTCGGAGAGCTCCAACCCGGCTGAGCAGATGAGGGCGAGGTCGTGTGATGCCGATGAACCAGGGGGGCCAGGGCAGGGCCAGGGCCAGGGGCAAGGAGCGGGCAAAAGACAAGGGGCACATCAGGCTATCGGCAGACAACCACATACATGTCAGTCCACTCTCGCCTCTTGGATACATGAGTCAAAACAAAGGTGTAAGGATCAAGAGCCCGACAATTTCCATAATGGGCTCAGGTGACGCTGGCGAGCAAGATTCGGTGAAGGGATGTGAGATTTGGCCTCATGGGGTGGATGGGGATGGGAGGGATAGTATCGCTAGGTGTTAACTCTTTGCCATGGATGACAATTGGGTCAGTGCTGCAGGGAGGAAATTATGAGACTGGGTTGCCAATGGCCATTGTCCTCCCTGACGGACTGTTTGTCAGATATCCGAGCGTATAACAGCACAGCCATCCATGTTTTCTTTGTTCTTGCTCGTGCTGACCATGCCCTGCCATTAGCTCACCTTGCTGTGCTCACCGATGGCTTGATCAATGTCGTACAACGGGCTCAATTGGCAGCCTGAAGCATTTCTTTGTCCTCAAGACATGCTCGTGATCCGTTGCTCTCAGTGGATACAATTATGGTTGAGCATGTTATTGGAGATCCACCATCAGCTGCATATCATGAACGAGATATACGAGAATGAATGAGCCAGGAGGGACTGTGCACTGGGTCCGGTATGGTACAAAGTTTGATATCAAGCTTCACAGAAAAATTCCACGACATCCGAGCTGGATGCAAACATTCACTCATGCCTTTGTCATTGTGTTTCATGGCATCTAGAACAGAGGTTGATGGCGGCTGACTCCGGCGCGGTGGAGCCCGAGCTGGGTGGTCTAAAGTGGTGGGTCTCTATTGCTGACATAACCACTTTCTACTTCGGCTTCTTATTGGCCGACGCGACAATGGTGGGCTTGACTATTGCGACGAGGCTGAAAGATGCTGAATACGTTGGAAGCCTTTCGCAGCTCCCTTTGTCTAATTCCATCCTTTCAACCCCGACCGCCGCCCCGAATCGTTAAAATTGCGCCTGTTTTCATGAGAGAGAGTTTTGGAAGCAAGATTCATCAAGAAACAGCCGCCGAGGCTAGTCAATTCCTCAAATCATGACCGACTGGGCCAAGCTCAAGGTCGTCGACCTGAAAGCCGAGCTCAAACGACGCGGTCTCCAGCAGCATGGCCTCAAGACCGAACTTGTCGCGCGACTAGTCGAAGCCGATGAGGAGCAGGCGCGAGGGGAGGACGCGGGCGAGCCTGAAGGCGCGAACGAAGATGTACCCATGGCTGATGAGCCTGCCGACCATGAATCTCGAACCGCATCTATAACCCCCGATGTCGAAGCGGCCGAGAAGCCTGCGGCCGAAGATGCCGAGGTGGAAGAAAAAACAACCCAAGAAGAAAAGGCGGAAAACGACCAAGTCGATACGACCAAGGCAGATGTGAATGCAGAGGAGACCAACGAGCCGCAACAACCAGAGACTGTCAAGAACGGGGCGCCAGAGGAAGCTCCTGAAGTCTCCAACCCCACAGCAGACGTGCCGATACCTGGAAAGGAAGCAGGTGCTCAATCCAGAGAACCGACTGTCGAGCAGGCGTCAAGAGCTGCAACTACGACCGCGGCCTCTCCTCCCTCTCTCGAAGCCACACCAGCTGCAGAGAGACAGAAGCGCAAACGTCGCTCTCTCACACCGCCGCCAACCGAAGAAGCCATCGCGCGCAAACGCGCCCGCGCTGACGAGGGTGCAGCAAACGGAGACTCCTTCCCCGCGCGCGAGGAACAATCACAGCCTCAGGCTGAGGAGCAGGAGGTACCTGCGCCTATGAACATCGACAACGAGGAGCCGCAGCCAGAACAGAATCAAGAAACTGCACCTGCGCCCGCACCCGAGCCGGAACCCGAGTCAAACGCGCCTCAAGAGGAAACACCAGCGGATAAACCGCAGGAAATGGACTACGAGAGAGATGTTGCGCCTTCGGTGCACCCAGCTACTCCAGCCCTCTATGTCAAGAACCTGATGCGCCCCCTTCGACCTCAGGACGTTAAGGCGCACCTCGTCGACCTCGCAACACCTCCAAGAGACGCTCTTGATGACAATATCATTGTCGAGTTCTTCCTCGACCAAATCCGCACCCATGCGTTTGTCGTTTTCAGGACCACCGCTGCGGCCGCCCGCGTTCGCAACGCCCTCCACGACATCGTCTGGCCTAATGAGAGTAACCGCAGGCCCCTCTGGCTCGACTTTATCCCTCCCGAGAAGGTACGCGACTGGATTGAGACGGAGCATGCCAGCGGCGGTCCCCGTGGACGCTCCAGTGCTAGGTGGGAGGTTGTTTATGAGGACGGCCCCGATGGGGTTGTTGAGGCTCACCTTGAAGAAGCCACAGCGTCCACCTCTCGCGCAGGTCCTCCTCCAGGCCCAAGACAGCCTACGGGCCCCTCGATGATGGGTGGCGACTCTGTTCCCCTCGGCCCTAGAGGCTATCGCGACCCTGCTATCCCAACGGGACCTCGCCCTGTCCGACCTGGCACTGGACCCGGCCCTCGTCCTCCACCTACCAACCCAGGCGGCGCCTCTAAGCGCACCAACAGTCGACCTGCTATCTCCTACCAGCCAGTGTCCGAAGATCTCGCAAGCCGCCGAATCAACAACATGCACTCCTTCTACTCGACGGACCGCGACCGCGACTTTGGCCGTGAAATCAACCGCTACTCCTTTGAGGACGGTGCCAACTTTGTCGACCGAGGCAAGGAGGTCTTTGAAGGTATCCGACCCCCACACCGTGAGCGAGCCGTCGAGCGTGAGCGTCGTGGAGGAGGAGGAGGACGTCGCCGTGGTGGTGGCAGAGGTGGCGGTCGCCCACGGAGTGATCGCTACTTACCTCCTCCCCGCGACGACCGACGACCTCGGTTTGGCTCCGAGCCCGAGAACGGCTTTGACCGGATGAGGGACTGATTGTACTCGGAGGAGGAAACTTGAAGCATATGCTTTTTCCGTGTATATACATGAGAGATGAAATGGGAGATGGTCACTGGCTTGGAGGGCGGCGTCGAGGGGTCTAAAAGGCTGGCACGGAACAAAGGGATGGGAACATGACGGGCTTTACGGTATATGGAATTGAAGCTCGATTAATCAATCATCTCAATGACTTGTCCACCTCTACTGTGATATGGTGTGAAGGGTCACGGTTCTCAAAAGAGATAGGGAGACCCAAAATGTTGTGAGACATGCATTTGCAACCCCTCCAATTGCAGGATCAGGCGGGGGATAGTGAAAACATCAACCTCACAGTGAGTCGAGCTAGGGAGAATCAAAGTGTGATGTTCCAAGTTTGTTTATTGCTCTACGTATTCGCAAGAAAAGTATCAATCTTTATCCCTTCTCCCGCAAAGTGCAAAATCATCAACCATCCGTTACCCAGCTACCGATCCTTGACGCCAAAAAGATTCTCTACAATGATCCACCTAGGCCGCAGCGGCAAGGGGAGTGGGCTCGACGCCAACACGCTGTCGGCTGAGAATGTCGAGCATCAGGGGGCTGGGTCGGTTGTCCTTGTAGACGGTCTGGTTGCTCTTGGCGAGTTGGACGTTCTGGAGGTACTTGTCGAAGAGGTAGGAGCTGTCCATGGGACCGCCCTTGGCCTCGGGGTGGAACTGGGTAGAGAAGATGGGACGCGTCTTATGCATCATACCCTCGTTGCTACCGTCGTTGAGGTTGACAAAGTACTCCTTGAAATCGCTGGGGAGAGTGCTGGCGTCAATGGCGTAACCGTGGTTCTGGCTGGTGATGTGGCACTGGCCAGTGGTCAAGTCAAGGGCGGGAATGTTGTGAGCACGGTTGCCGTACTTGAGCTTGATGGTGCGGGCACCAACGGCGAGGGCCAGAAGCTGGTGGCCCAGACAAATACCCATGATGGGGATGGATGAGGTCTCCATCAGACGGGCGAGGTTGTAAACAGTGTCCTGGCAGTGAGTAGGGTCACCGGGACCGTTGGAGATGAAGACACCGTCAAAGTGCTGAGAGACCTTGTGGATAGGGTAATCGTAGGGGAAGACGGTGACGGAAGCACCTCGGCTGACTAGGCTGCGGAGAATGTTCTCCTTGACACCGCAGTCGATGAGGGCAACGTGCAGAGAGGCACCGGGAGACTCGACAACGAAGGGAGCCTTGGTGCTGACGCGCTTGACCAGGTTGATCTGGCCAGGGTCGATGAAGCTCTCATCCTCATCGGCATCGTACTCGTCACCAATGGAGATCCTAGCGAGGGAGGAACCCTGCTCTCGGAGGTAGGTGACGATGGCACGGGTATCAACGCCAGAGATGGCGGGAACACCCTCTCGGGCGCACCACTCGCTCAGACTCTCAACGGCGGTCCAGTGGCTGTAGTTGACAGCGACATCGGAGACAACAACACCGGCGCACTGAACGTGGGGGGACTCGAAGTACTTGAGGAGGTTGTACTGGTCTCGGGCGTTGGAGGGGACACCATAGTTGCCAATGAGGGGCTGGGTGAAGACGAGGATCTGGCCTCGGTAGGAGGGGTCGGTCATGGACTCGGGGTAGCCAACTAGGGAGGTGGTGAAGACGGCCTCGCCAGAGATGTTGGCGTTGGCGCCGAAGGCCTTGCCCTGGAAGACGGGACCATCTCGGATAGTAAGAGTCGCAGGAAGGGAAGCGACAGGAGCAGTAGCTCGGGTAGCAGTGAAGGGCATCTTCCTGCCCTTGCTGCCAGCGACGGCCTGCTCAGACAGGTATCGGACCTGAAGCATAGATCGGCCAGGAGCCGACGCGGACTTGGCCGCGGGTTTGGCAAAGGATGCCAGTCGGGAGAACATTTTGATATCGGTTGAAGGTGGTTGTTGAAGTCAAAGGGAGAGTAGCTGGTTGGTCAATGAAGCCCTTTAGCAAGATTGGGACTTCCAGAGATGGTCTGTAGCGTAAAGTTAGATTAGTTTCAGAAGCCCAACGGATCCAAGATGGGAAAGCTTGGGAAGCGGTGAGTCAGGCCAAGCTAGAGTGAGACGAACCAGAGAGATAATCCTGTAACAAACGAGTCAGCAACGAATCAATTGAAGAGTACAAGTATTGGAGTGACGATAGGAGAAGCATTGAGTGTCGAGGAACCCGTTCTTTACTTCCCGTCAAGCGGACAAGTTTTTGGCGGGGTCGCGATAGGATGCTCACCGACGAACGGAGCAGCAGCCGCACGCGACACAATGACTCGACAGACATAAGGGAAAGTGGTAGAAACGTACCTGCGAGGTGAAGATCGAAGGGCGTCCGTTCATATGAGCGGATTGTGAGACAAGCTCGGGATGGGAGGAGGGGTGAGAAGTGTGAGACTATGCAGTCAAGACGTGAATGAGTAGTACGAGAGTTGATATATCGCGAGGATTTCTTTCTGTTGTAAAAGAAGAGAAAGAAAGAAGAGGGAGGGGCCGAGAAGGAAGAGAAAAGACGAGACGAGAGACGCTCGCGCCTCCTGACAACGCCGTGTTGGTCATTGGCCATGTTGGCTCCTCCCCGCCAAGTTTTTTTTTTCTTAGTGGGGTAGCTTAGACTCGATTTTTGCTCTGGCGGAAGCCCAAAGCCGCCGAGCCGCCTGCTCGAGACTCTGTTTTTGCGTGGGCGGCTTCGGCGCTCCGCCTGGTGACACCGCTACGGAGCCGCTAATGCAGCCCCTGGACCCTGGTGACGATGACCCGTCATTGTGGGAGGGAGTTTGCTCGTGCTCCGATATCGTTTTTATCTAAGCTTGGCGGTTGAGGTCTGAGTTTGGTCTGTGTGTGTGTGTGTCTCCATGCTTGACCAACACCAATTACACGTCACATCCTCTATCGGATCGACACTCATTCTCCATGATTGTTGAGTCGAGGAGACGATGCCCTTTTATCCTCCATGACCCATGACGTACAATCAACACGCGACGTCAAGCTCTTCACCTCAGCTCAGCTCAATGGGGAGGCCGGGCAGTGGAGCAAACAAGAAGACAGCTCCAGGAATCCTTGTTGGGACCAAGGGCGCGCCCACTGATTTGCCCGCTTTCGCATGCGGGCGGTCAAGCTGAGTGAGACCATGGAGCTAGAGTCGTTAAGAGTATAGATCCATCACGGGGTTTTCTGTTGATAACGGGGCCAACAACCCCAGGAACATGGCGTCCGTCATGTCCGAATCCCGGACGGGATGGCGGAATGGGCTTCGATAAGGGCGTTCCTGGATCGGATGCAATGAGTCAGGACAGATAATCAGATCGTAGGTAGTCTAGGATCATTGTAAGCCCAGACCATGAATGCCGAGATCAAGATGGACCTTGTTCTAGGGAGATGCATGCACAACCTCAAAGCACAGTCCTCTTCTCTCACGAGACTCTTTCCCACATAGAATCCACTCATGATATCCACAGGTATCACATTCATAGGCGCAAACTGCCACCCATTTCTTTCATCGCACCTCGGTAGTACTAAATGGAACATACTGGGGTAGTGGGAATTCACTTGATCTCAATATGAGAGTTGCAGAATCGAAACCTCGCCTGTGGTGGTGAGGTTCTGATTTTTGCATTTTTTGCCAATTTCCGCGAAACCAGTCGAACATGGAAACCCCCAATTGTTGCATCAAGGAAGGAATCAGAGGCATTGGATCTGGTAACTCAACTTAGAGTCAGCTTGAAGTCGACTCGTCAATTAATGAATTAATTAATTCAGGCCGTCAACCTGGTCTCGAGGCCTCTTCTCATCGACCTGTATACCTGTCGCAAGCTTAGAGTTGCAACTCATCTTCGCCAATGGCGGGATAATCACCATGTCCAAGCACCCGATTCTCAACAGCCTACTCCATATATACTATCAACATGTCTTGCTTGATACATATAATTACGTATTGTAGCATTTCAGGAGGGGCCGTTTATGGCTTCAAGTTGTAAACTATGGATATCATTGCGTCGGAATAAGTCTACTTTGCTCCTATGCTCAGCACCCTCCTTGACTCTGAGAAGGGATTTGATATCATCAACAATGTACATATTGACATGGAATTTATTTATTCTATTTCTCGTACACTAAATCGAGGTTCTTTTTACAACAAAACTCCTCGACTCGTGCATATTCATCAAGCTGTCCTCTCATTTACAGCGCACCAAGCTCCTTGAGCTTGCTAACCAGGCCACCAACATCTTCGACCTTGCCGCCACCCTGTCGAGTGGGAGGCTCTGCAAATCGTTAGCAATCTATAACTCTTGGGCCTTCTTCCCAATTGCGCATGAAACTCACCGGCCACCTTGAGCACCTTGAGGCGCTTCTCATTGTCCAGCCCAAAGTCGGACAGCTTGACCTTTTCGAGCTTCTTCTTCTTGGCCTTCATGATGTTGGGCAGGCTGGCGTACCTGGGCTCGTTGAGCCGCAGGTCCGTCGTGATCACTAGGGGCAGCTTGGCCTTGACCGTCTCGACGCCGCCGTCCACCTCCTTGGTCACAATCACCTCGTCGCCGGCGCCGAACTCGACCTTGCTCGCCTGTGTTGCCTGCGGCCAGCCCAGGAGACCCGCCAGCATCTGACCCGTCTGGTTGGCGTCGTCGTCGATGCTCTGCTTGCCCAGCACCACCAGGTTGCTCTTCTGCTGCTCCGCCGCCTGTCGCAGGAGCTTGGCCACCGTCAGGGGCTCCAGTTCCTCGCCGTCCTTGATCTCCACGTGGATGCCACGGTCCGCGCCCATCGCCATCGCTGTTCGGAGCACGTCCTGCGCCTTGGGGGGTCCAGCCGAGATGACGCAGATGTCCTCGACACCACCGGGGGCTCGCTTCTTCTCGCGGATGCGCACAGACTCCTCGACCGAGAGCTCGTCAAAGGGGTTCATCGAGTGCTTGACGCCGGCCGTCTCGACGCCCGTCTGGGCCTTGTTCACTCGGGGCTTGACCTGCGACGCCGTCAGAGCTCAATGGATCTTGTCTCGTTCCAATTCCTTTGCCCTTACCGCATAGTCGATAACCCGCTTCACAGGGACGAGGATCCGTAGTGCCGACATCGTGATGATTTGCTGTTCAATGCGAGGTTGAATTGAAGTTGTCGAGGGGGACGGCGGCAAGAAGTACAAGACGGCCGAGCCAAGTCGTCATGGCAAAGCTCGGGCGGGAGCGGTACCGGCTAGGGCCGGCTCCAACCTCGGCCGACTACCCCACGTGACAGCCGTGTTGAGGCCGAGCATCGGATTTGTGCGCCCGGTCACCGGGATTTTGAAATGTGCCCTCAAGACTTCGCTTTCTTGATTAGAACTGTCAAAACCGGCGTTTTCGATGCCAAAAATTCGTGTCCAAGAGACCGATCCTTGACCGAGAAAGACAGCCTCTACCGTAAAACCACCTTGGACTTGCAACAGCCCCCGTGGCTAACTCGGCTTATAGCCGACTTCGACCGCCGGCGACTAGAGGTAGAATGCCGAGTCCAGCCATCAATACCCTCTTACATACGTCAGGCATATATCGAATTCCCTTCACACTGACAAGCATTGCTGCCGTCTTACTGCAAAACCCTGGAGGTGACCAAATTCTCTTGATCGAGACTCGCTCCATTGACAAGCACGCCTATACTCCAAAGCTCCAACTCCCAACCATCAACAACATGTTTCCTCTCAATCTACCCTCTTACATCCCACCTGCAGTCCACTTCACCAGTCATCCCACTCGTCCGTCTGCTTCTTCGGCGCCGGAGCTGGGTTCTTCTTGCCCATGCCCATAGCACTTGTGCCGATGGAGCTGTTGTTGGGTTGCCTCTGGTCTGCCAGGTTGGAGAACTCGTCCCAGAAGTTCTTCTTACTCTCGTCCAGTGGGGCATCCCGGCTCTTTTGGTGCTCAGGTCCCTCTACGAAACGGTTGAAACCCTCTTGTGCGTTCTTGCTAGCTTGCTGAGCTGACTTGGCGAAGGAGGCTGCTGTTAATTGCGCCTGCTTGGCAAAGTCACCGTCGGCGATCTGTGGGAGGTGGTCATGTTAGTCAAGGCCACCAGAGAAGATGTGAATCGTAGATAATGAGGTCATACCTGCTTGGCCGTAGGCTGAATGTAGCCATCGTTGACCGTCTTGGCAGTCTTGGAGACTGTCGACGTAAACCAGCCGAAGCCCTTGGTCAGCGCCGCCATCGTGTCCTTTTGCATATCGGCAAAGTTGGGTAGGTCGTCGTTTGACTGGCTCGGTCCAGGCGTGCTACCAAATCCAGCATACTTGCCTCCCTGGCTGGGAGGCAGATGGTCTGGCCGCGAGGCATTGTCGGCGCCCAGCCTGGCAAAGTATTGGTCGTCCACCCTGACCTTGCCCGGCCCCGACCCCGTCGCCGGGCTCTGGTTCCGGTTGGCGGTGCCGCCCATGGGAGTCGACGACCGCGACGCCGGCTTCGCGGCAACGGGCGCGGGAGCTGGCTTCTTGGCACCGGGCACGTACTCGCGGCCCTCGACCTTGCAGCTAAGCCTCTCCTTCCACTCCTCGCCGACCTCGCCGCTGTACCGTTCGGCGATAGTTGAGTCCTCCCAGGTGATGCCCATCATCTGTGTCTGCTCATGCGCCTCGAAAAAGTTCCTCCACCCCTCGTTGCCACCAAGTCGCATCCGCTCGATCTCGCCCGACTTGAAGGCGTCCATCGAAATGCTCCTGACGAAGGAGATGTGCACGCCGAGGCCTCGATGCACGCCGGCGCACGACAGGCAGATAAAGATGCCAAACTTGGGAGACGCCCATTGCGGGGACGGCGCATTGCAGTCGCAGCACAGGTTGTTCTTGGATTCTTTCTGGAGGGCGGCAAGCTGGGATAGAAGTCAGCACGTGTGAGCGCATCGCCGCCAGGAGGTGACGGCAGAGAGGCCAAAAGCCTGATAGGGAGGAAAGGGAGAAGAAACAAGACTTGACTGACCTTGGACCGCGTCTCGGGATCTACCTCCCACATGCCCTTGGACGCCATCGCGACAGAGGTAGAAGCCGTAATCGATCGGAGCTCTCGAGTTGAATGTTTGTTTGGGTGACGGATGTTTGGTATGGGTGGTTGATGCCCAGCTGGCGGCTCGAAACCAGGTTCAGTTGCAAAGGGAGACGAATGGATGTCTCAGTGCGCTAGAGGCTACAGTAGGTGACCCCCCCCTGCTTCTTCTGCTTGGATCCAGTACTCCGTACACCACTCAGCGCTCAGGGCACTGAAGCATGGGTCCTGGTCCCGTCAGACCTTGCTGCGTGCCAGTCGGTTCCGTGTCCAGTTCAAGCTGGATCCATCCATCCATCCAGTGGCAGGGTCCTTAAGGGGTTGGGTCGGCGGGGCAGGCCGCTGCAGTTCATACCTGGGTACCGTCCTTATCCCCCGAAACAGCACATTTCAAGGTTCTAGAACCAACATGTTAAATGCCCACGTGAGCTTCAACACCACACTCTTTGACATGTCGTCTAAGGAACTTAGAATAGCGTTTGAAAGCATATCTTTGCGCCCACGAACATTCACACATAGCTACCTATTGGCAGTCCATCCTCTACAAACAGAGCTGGAACGCTCTCGGCTGCCCTGGTGAGAACCATGACGCCTCCCCGATGATCCATCCCCACAATCCTCTCAAACGACGTCAACATTGCCTTCGACATGTCTATCAAGCACTTCATCACATCATCGACAAACACACGAATTCACTTTCAGGGCACATCACTTCAAACGCATCATCAGGCATTCTAACCCACCACATTACAATCATCTTGTTTCATCAAAAACGCCCTGTTTAATAAATGCGCCGAGCTTTTCTCTCCCTCGAGCCGCCTCCGGCGTAAACTAGTGTACATCCCAGCAGAAGAGTGATGGAGAAAAGTGTGATACAAATACATGAATGAGGGCCTGCGAACTTTTGCGTTCCGATTATGGAGATATTAAGTGTTTTGAGAAAAGAGAACAAGGTTGACAAGAAAACACCATCCCGAGATTTCATCAGAGTCCGAATAGCTCTTGGTTACGTCCCAGTCAAGGTGTTGAATAATCCCCTTTGTTTCTTTTCATCTCTGTAGCGAGAATCTACCGTAAGAGAAATCGTTGAAATCGCGTGCCAAATCGTAAGAGTGATCATCGTGGCATGAACAAATCTTCATACCCGTGAGACTCGCGTCAGGCCCATACTTAGGCAGTGGTGACGGGAGTGGTGGTAGTGGCCGCAGGGGCAGCATCAGCGGCAGCGGGAGCCGCGGCGGGGGCAGCAGCCTCAGTCTTCTTCTCAGCAACAGCAGGAGTAGCAGCGGGGGCGACAGCGGGAGCCGAGGCACCAGCAGTGGGAGCAGCCTCAGTAGCAGGGGCAGCCTCCTTCTGGCCGTTGACGGCGCCCTCATGATGGTCATCATCGGTCTTGTCGGGGCTGTCAATAGCAACCTTGACGGCAATCTCACGACCCTCAATCTCCTTTCCGTTCATCTCAGAAACAGCCTTCTGCTGAAGCTCCTCAGAGGCCAGAGTGACGAAGCCGAAGCCACGGCCCTTGCGAGCCTCACCGCGAGCCTGAAGCTTCTTGATCATGAAACGGGGAATGGGTCGGAGAGCAATCTTGGCAGAAGAGGGCTCGTAAGCCTTGAAGAGCTCAATGAGCTGTTGACAAAGTTAGCAGAGACTCATCTCACAGTTCAGGGATTACTGACCTTCTCCTCGGTCAGGTCATAAGGCAGGTTGGCAACCATGACCTTGGTCTTGGAAGGAATTCCATCAGCGGGGGGGCCACGCTCGCGGCGCTCGCGCTGAGGTCGAGCTTGAGTCTTGGTCTTGGTACTGTCGTCAGTGTTGATCTTGTTTGTGATGTCGGTCAAAGGTTGAACCTCAGTGGTGGTAGGAGCAGCGACTGCGGCGGCAGCATCCTCGGTAGCAGCAACGGCCTCGGTAGCCTCACCCTCCTTCTTCTCACCGGCGCCCTCCTGCGTATTGGTCAGTAAAAGTTTCAGAGGGGCTGCATCTTTCGATTGTGACTCACACGTCCAGCGCGGGCACCGCGACCACCACGACCACGGCCTCTGCCACGGCCACGTCCCGAAGCTCGGCGACGAGATCCCTCAGCGCCGGAACCCTCTCCGTTGGCGCCCTCGGTCTTCTCACCAGCAGGCTCGGGCTTGCGAGCGAGCTGGACGGAAACCTTGCGCTCGAGGATCTCCTTGCCGGAGAGCTCCTCGATGGCACGCTCGGCCTCAGTAGGGGTAGAGAGGTCGACAAAGGCGTAACCGACAGGGCGGTCGGTGCGAGGGTTCTTTGGGATCGAGACAGACTCACTACAGAGATGTCAGTAAATGCTTGGCGTTCACCATGAGATGATGGTGCGGTGGCAGTAGATGGATGTCAGGCCCGTGCAGCCGACAAGGACAAGCCCAGTTGCGCGACTCCTTCCCAGTTGTAAATCATCCAGATGCGACGCAGAAGTCGAGGCCCTCTGATGTGGTGGTGGTTCTGGGGTGTGCCTGCCGACATTCGTCGTCGTCTGATGTCCAGGGAAGGAGCGCATCGCGATGGCAGAGACACGTGTCTCCAGCGGGGTACTCGAATGCCTCGCTCAAAGGGCGGCGAGAAGGGGGACAAAAGGCTCTCGGGATGGGAGGCGAGATGATCAAGAGAAGAGGGAACTCACACAAGATAGCTCTTGAAGAAGTCCTTCAACTCCCCCTCAGTTGTCGCATAGGCCAGGTTGCCGATGTAGAGGCGGCGGCCCTCAGCAGCGCTGGCCGAGGCGGCCTCGTTGGCGGCCGTCTTGTCATCGGCAGGCTTGCTGATAGAGGTATTGCTCAGAGTGTTTGCGACGTCATTAACGGCAGCATCCAGGTTGTTGGTGGTGTTGGCGGTGGTAGTCATGATGGCGGCTGGTGGATGAAGGTTGTGGTTAGGTTGAGTATGACGTTCGGAACTTGGGGACCTGTGGTGGAGGAGCGTTCGAGAACGAGGGCTGCAGGTTGGACAGGTTCAACTCTGGTGCAATAAGGAGGAGTTTGATCAGGGTAGCTTGGTGCCCTAGAAACGGGGGTTGGGGGGATTAGACAGACGACGGTGCGTTGCGCGGAGACACAAGTGAACTGGAGTTGTGATGGGGAAGAAGAGAAAGGGAGGAGAGAGAGCGATAGGAGCCGCGCGAATCTTGAAATATTTTTTCGGCTTTGGGCTTGGGGGAGGGAGGAAGGGGCGTGTTGAGCATGGGGTTGGGTCGGTCAGGTCAGGGGGGGTGGGAGGGAAGGCGTGAGCGAGCGAGCAGGAGAGCAGGAGCAGGCAAGATGTGGAAAGTGGGAAAGTGGCCAGGGCTGGGGGAGACGGGCAGGTGCGACGAGTGGAGGAGGGCTGCGGGTACACGACACGAGGAAGGTACTCGAAGGGGGATCGTGATTAGGCGGTGTCTGCACGTTGCGGTCAAGGAGCAGAGGTACAGTCCACCACTGAATGGGTATCAGATACATGGAAGCTCCCAGAGAGCTGTGTGCGTTGTGGATTCCCTCCCGCTTGGTGGTCCCGGCACACCTGAGGCTGCTTCCTGCTGGGGGAGTTCTCGATTCAAGTCACTGAATGGCAGGACGTACCTAGAGATGAGGCGAGGCGGGTCGCTTCGAAGAGGATGTCGATGATTCAGAGACGTAGAGTGTAGCGGAGGGGCGGCAGAGTTGAAGAGAAGACGATCTCCTGATTTGTTTTTGGACTTTGTTGATGGGCTTTGAATTTGTGCCAGTTCATGTAGGTATTAGGGCCTGGTGTGTGGGTGGTGCGGGCCTGCATGTGCGTCACGACCTTGTGTACTGTATCAGTCAGGTCTGTGGCATAGCATTGAAGATGGACATCTGTCATTCAAAAGTTTAACATGAATAGGGGAGCGTTTGAGTGACTCGTGAACTTGGAAGTATAGTATACATTGTTCATCTATAGGAACACCAACACCGCCGGGGAACGGCAAACAAGCCAAGCTACGGCAATGGATACTATTGTAGTTGACCGCTGGTTCAACGTTGTTCTCAGATGGGCACCTGTGGGGGGCGTGTTGTTGACAGGCTTGGCACCTCAGCTGTAGTTTCGGCGTGTGTCATCCGTCACCAGCCATCACGACATCAACAGCAGCAGCAGCAAACGGTTGCCGTGCCGGTGCTGCGCTGTGCTGTGCTGTGCTGTGATGCGATGCAGGTCTTGCCCATCCATCCATGTTTGACTTACACGGGGCTGAAGAACAGTCGTCAACCTCGCTCGCCTGTCCCGCAACTCATATTGATGCGTTTATGCACGACACGGGCAGCTACTCCAATTAGAGCAAGTCTGTTTTCACCTTTATTTGGAAACCTGGCCTCAGGACTGCCTTATTGGAAAACGAGAGAAATGCAAACGCGTGTGTATCTCGTTGGCATGGTGAAAAGTATGGACAGAAATCAGCAAAATGCATGACATTGTTGCAATACTCCTGACGGACGCCTGAAAGGGCCGAAATTGCTTCTCGTCCTGGATAATTTCACAGCTGATTGAATCTCCCGTATCTCTAGAGGTTGTGTCCCCCCTGACAAGGCCAGCTCGCCCTCCCCGACCCCGACCCCGAAGAATAGGGGGTTTGCGAGGACACTGCCCCAGGCCAGGACCTTAATGGGGGCTCTCTCTCCCACCAATAAATAAACGAGATGAGTGAGCTGCTATTCTTGAACACCCACGCCCATGCCCGACAGCTCGGATGCAACGGGCTAGGATACCGGTAGGTACAGTAGGATGCCAGGTCCCGGGAAAAGAAAAAGCCAAGTCCTCGAGGGCAGTGGAAAAGCTCCACCGCGACTCGAGGGAAACGAGGCTTCTAGAACTCGGACGCTGTCAGTGCACTTAGCACCCCCTGTGGCTTGCGACTTTCAAGGCTCCGGGGCCCTGGTCAAACCGGCATCATGGAACAACCGTCCTTCTGTGGCGCCTCCACCTCGATGGGATTCCGGGGATTAAAGAAACGGTTGCATGAGGCTCTCAATCATGATGGGAAATGGGGGTTGGATGGTATCAGGTGAAATGCGGTCTGTCTACACCGCAAACAGAGGCCAGTTATGGACCCGGGGCCCTTGACTGCAATTTCTCCAAACGAATGATTCTACTGACCGAGTCTGTACAATCTCTCAGCACAATTGCTTTTCACAGGCCAACTCATAAACAATATACTCCATCCACCAACATCATCAATGTGCAACAAACAGTGGCTGATTCATCAACAAGCTTTGCCGAGCAAGCGAGCAGCAGCCCGATTGATAAGATCCGACCCGACGCAGGTCTCTCACACACGGGGGCCCCGCCATCGGACATGGAACTAAACGGGCGCTAACCAACAAACCTTCAATCTTCAACTGCGAAAGCGGAACCCCCCTTGCTTTCCCCATCCATTCCTTTCAACTCGAGTCGAGCCGAGTCTCAACAGCAGAAGCGGAAGCAGTTCGCCATGGCCGTTCAGGACAGGACCGTGCTCATCCTCTACGGGTCAGAGACTGGCAATGCTCAGGACGTGGCCGAGGAGCTTGGGCGAGTCTGCCAGAGGCTCCACTTCAAGAGCCGAGTTGAGGAGTTGGACGCGGTAGATCTGGTACGTCGCCTCGCCATAAGCCAGCATCCTAGTCACTGACGGATACCTCGTTTATGTAGAATGCCCTCTTGCAGCATAGGTTTGTGATATTCGTCATATCAACCACCGGTCAGGGTGATATGCCACACAACTCGCTCCTCTTCTGGAAGAGACTGCTCCGCAAGAAGCTGCCCCCAGGATGTCTGTCTTCTGTTCAGTACACAACCTTTGGTCTGGGCGATAGCACTTATCTCAAGTTTGTGTCCCCGTGGTTACTACTTTGTGACACCGACTTACACCTCTTAGGTTCAACTGGGCAGCCCGCAAACTGAACAGGCGCTTGGAGCAACTTGGCGCTACAACTTTCATTGAATCCTTTGAGGCTGATGAACAGTTTCCTGATGGGTGAGTTTACTTATTGAAACTCGCTTCACATACATCTCACTGATGCTGTTTAGAATTGACGGCAGCTTTGTTCGCTGGTCCGAAACCCTCTCCAAACACCTCCTGGAGCACCACCCTCCACCATTTGGTCTCAAGCCCATACCCGACAATGTTATCCTCCCTGCCAAGTGGTCTCTTAGCAATGCCTTGGAAAATAGCCAAGTTGTCAACGGCCACTATTCGCCGCAACTCTCAGAGTTACCTCCTGCCTCACTACTCCCCATTCCCAACGGCTGGACCGCCACTCTAGCCGACAACGTCAGACTTACGCCCGAAACTCACTGGCAGGATGTTCGACTTGTCTCCTTTGACATACCCAGGCGGGAGGGAGTCAAACTCCAGTGTAATCCAGGGGACTGCCTCACCGTCTACCCCAAGAACTTCCCCCAAGACGCTCAGAAGCTCATCACCCTCATGGGTTGGGATGACATCGCCGACAGGCCCCTCGACCTATCCCTCTGCGACTCCCTCCCGCAGAATCTCTACATAGACCCCAAGTGCACACTCAGGGAGATTATCCTCAACAACATCGACTTCACCGCCATCCCTCGGAGGTCCTTCCTAAAGAGCATGTCCTACTTCTCCACCAACCCCGACCACAAGGAGCGTCTCCTCGAGTTCACTATGACCGAGTATCTCGACGAGTATTTTGACTATGCCACACGATCTAGGCGGTCGATCCTTGAGGTCCTTGAGGAGTTCACGTCGGTCAAGCTCCCGGCTGAGCGTGTCCTTGACATCTTCCCCCTTATTCGCGGCCGGGACTTTAGTATTGCCAACGGCGGGATTAAACTGAACCATCCAACCGATGAGAATATCACCCGCGTTGAGCTCCTCGTCGCCTTAGTCAAGTACCGCACAATCCTCCGCAAACCTCGCCAAGGCCTCTGCTCTCGCTACCTGGAGAACCTCCCTGTAGGCTCCTCTCTAACCGTAACCCACAAGCCTGTCCTCTCCCCCATCCACGGCCCGCAAAACGCCCAGCGTCCCCTCGTCGCTATCGCTACTGGCACCGGCCTCGCCCCAATCCGGGCTCTCATCCATGAGCGCCTGACCCACCCCTCGCGAGCGCCCATGCACCTCTTCTTCGGCAACCGAAACCGCGATGCCGACTACTTCTTCCATGACGAATGGGACGCTGCCGTGCGTGATGGGAACCTCGACGTATTTCTTGCTTTTTCGCGAGACCAAAGAACCAAGATTTACGTCCAAGACCTCCTACGTGAAGAGGCGAAGCGTCTGGAGGGTCCGATAATGGACAATGGCATCTTCTGCGTTTGCGGTGGCTCAACCAAGATGGCAGATGCAGCCAAGAGAGCCGTCTTTGATCCCTTCTCAGAGGGCGCCGAGGATGTCGAGGAACGCAAAAAAGTCTTGTCCACGTTGACGTGGTGGCAAGAGATCTGGTAGATGATGATTATGGGTAACGAACAATAGACGATAGATATGACATTTTTGCATATGGACATAACAGTCTTGAATAGAAAGCTAAAAACTATCACATCATTCTATCTGATATCATATTAAAACATGCGCTCGCTCATACATATAAACATAGGGAATGACGAGTAAACCACCAGAGGCCCCCGTACCTTTTTGAATAACAATTCCAGAATGTCCAGACGCCATAGCCCAAAACCAATTCTATGGCCCTACCCAGTACCACGCAATGCAAAAAACGTCAGAAGATAGCTCCAGGCTATATCATGAGACATCCACTCCAAGATATCATCGCTCTTCCTCCCAGCTGTACCGCCTCTCGGCTAGTTGTGGGACGTGGACCAGCTCATTGCCCCCGTCGATGCGCTCTTGGCTATGAGGCGTATCGGGCTCAGCTGTTTGACTCATGCCCGACAATCGCGTAGACTGTACCTGAGTAGATGTCCGGTTCGTCGTTCGATTTACTTGCCCGGCCACTGTTCCTTGTATTCGCTCCTCCTCCTCCACCGTAAAGTTACTGCCCAAACTATCCACGGTGCCCTCATCGTCCGGTGCGGCGTTGATAACATCATCCTGATGGCTTTGATCTAATGTGATTCGAGGCGTATCGTGTCTGGAAAAGCGAGCATTTCCGGGCAATGGCCCTAGGAACACCACCTTGGACGGGTCAATCGGTGTCCTTTGCACCGTTTGAGGTTGCGGTACATTCAATGAGGTGTTTGATGCCGAGAATGAGTCAACTCCCGAGTGAGGCCGCCTCGTTCCTGTGGAACCATTGGTCTGGCCGTCCGAAGACGGGGGGAAAGGTGAGGTTGGTGAGGTGCTCCCGTCATGAGTAGGTGAGACGGGATAGGTGGCCGTCATGGGAGAGGCCACTAAGAGCGGCCGGCCAGTTGCGTCGAATCCAGGAGTCATAGGAGACGGCAAGGGTATCGAGGTTGGATTTGAGTTGCCTTCTTGACCCGTTCCTGTCGATGGAGTTGGTGAGCGTTGCAACGCACGAGGTTGGGTGTTTGCTGGGTTTGGTTGGTAGATGGCCTTCTCTGGAGGCAACACGGTTCCGTCGGTAGGAGGCGTATACGCTGGGACAGGACCTTGTAGCTGTCTGTCAAGCTTCCGCCTTGCCACCTCATATGCGGATATGCCTTGCGAGCTGTCTGTGCCCAGTTCTGTATCTCCATTCCATGAGGTGCCGTCATCTCCGTCAAGTTCCGCCGGCGGAATCGGAGCTGGCATCTCGTATATCTGCGTGTTGGGGGCTTCGGATATCTTTTCGTTCTCCTTCCCGTCCTTGGGAGTCTGATGCGAGTTGCCCCGTCGAGTTAGTTTAGAGAGTAGTTGCATAATAGGTGACCGAGGCGATCGAGTCGCTGAACCGGGAGCCAAGTCTTTGTCGTCTTCCGAAGAGGTAGCGCTTCCAGCAAAACCCTTTCGTTTCCGACGATAACATAGCCATCCCACCAAGGCTGCCACGCAGGCCACAAACACCCCAGAGCCAACTCCAATCCCTGCAATCGCACCCTTAGAAAGTCCATTTCGTGAGGTACCTGAGAAAGGTGGTGGGTAAGGACTGTTGTCAGGTTGTCCAATGGCGACCAACTCGGGGTCAGATGATGACTCTTCGGGGAAGAGGGCCTGGTGTATTGAAAAGATTCCCTCGTCGTATTTGGTGATGAGATATGACTCCTGCAAGAATGACCGGCCGAGGATATAAGTGGTATTGTTATGTGCCTTCCGAAGCATGAAATAAGGGACCGCAGGCTCGCCATACTTGATCGTCTCTTCCATAAAAGGGTACTGAAGGAGACTGACAAAGGCTCTCAGTGGCAAGGTAATGTTGACAACGCCAGATACGTCATAGGGATCGCCAAAGTTGTCGTTGTTGTCGAAGCTGGACAGTACAAAGGTGAGAGACAAGGTATCTGCCTTTGAGTACTCGCGGTATTGCTCGTTGCTAATGAGGTAAAGGTCAAAGGTGCTGTTGTATGTGAGGTTAAGTGCTGCTGCGAACTGATCGCAGACATCATCCGGAAGCCATAAATATGGAGTGCTACTATCAAAAATAGCATCAAACGACGTTTCCCACTCTGAGAGCAGCATTGACTCTGAGCCCCAGCTATCCGGGGCAACACTGCCATTGGCGGGCATGATCTCGATACCACGGACGAGAGTTTGCTCCATGCTATCAGGTTGAGTCAAGGTGAAGTCGGCATTGTGCGATTTGAATCTCGACGGCTCATAGCCTCCGAGGGTCAACGAGACGGGAACGTTTCCTGCCTAGTTAGCCTCTAGAGTCAACAGACGAATGGCATTGATGCATACTGTAATGGGCACCGGCTGTGTAGCCGAAGCTGTAACTGGGAATCCAGCCGTAGTCCTTGACTGCCTGAGTCAATGGCGATTCTGCAACTGTTCCGTTAAAGTTGCCCTGTGTGATCCCTAAGCCAAAGAGTCCGTTGAGGTAACTGGTGGTGTTGACGGCAGCCATGAGGACCCCATCCATCGAATATGGCTCCGAGCTGGTCGAACTTTGCGTGGTGACTCTGTCGCGACCATACTCGCCATTGCCTCCGTACCCTAGGTAGCTGAGTCCCAGCTCCCAGGTTCCCAACGATCGCCAATCGGTGGATTCCTCGGGTTCATAAATGCCACCCCGAGCAGCACTACAATGAGGTTCCCCTGTAGGATGATTAGCACGGTCATGTCGGCGAGGTTCGGCCAGGTCCTCGTTGTTGTAATCAAAGAAGAAACGTCGAGGTAAACATGGGCCGGGCAGACATACGAGGTAAACATCCTCCTGATCCAACAGCCCAAAATTCCGAAAGAGCTGTGCTCACAAGAACATCAACGGCCTGTGAGTTTGAGCCCAGTGAGAAGGAAATAGTTGACCAGTTTCCGTCGATTCCTTTCCTAGTTGAGAAAGTCAGATGTTTATGTCGAGTGAAGCAGGCAGGAGACTTGCCATTGACTGGGGGACAATAGGAGCGGCGCAGGACCAGCTTGGGCTCCAGCGACGAGAAGGAGAGACGATCCAAGGATGACTGTCCACATCTTGAGACCGACTGATACGATGTGAAATTCCAAAGTCGTTAACCTCAACGGCGAGGCTTTTGCTCGTCCAGGGGCAGGCAGGCATTCACTTCAGATCTCTGGGTGGACAGCGGGGATGATGTGACAGCGTCCACAACGCGCTGTCGGGGGGGCCCGTTTCACGCCGTTTTGGGTCCGCATGCAGGATCAAAGGGTCTAGCCATGGGCTTTTCAAAGGTCTGAAGCCGCTGAATGTACGTTGAAGCAAGAGAGCGGAGATGGGGGGTGATTCAGGCGGCTCTCATGAGATAGGAACACCAGTTTCTCTGCGCGAGATGGCAAAGTGAGACGACCGAGGGAGCCAAAAAGTTCGACGCGCCACTCCCTGAAGAAAAGCCACAGGGCGCAGAGTTGCTGCACCCATCTCGGCCTGTCCTGGCTTGGCCCTGGCCCGTCTTACAGGGCCTCAAATGTCTTGGGTCTTGTGGCGGGTGGAGCGGAGCCCAGTTCGTCACCCTGACTCGCCGACGCCGAGCTGGGCCTGTCCAAGTTGCAAGGATACCCACCACCGACACATGGTCCTCCGCTTCTAGTGGATTTCGGTCAAGCTGAGAAGAGGAATGGCCTTGCAAGCATCCGTCGTCCTTCCAGTCAACAGGGAACGGAGCCCTAGATCATCAGACTCCCCGGTTTCTTCAGCCTTGGGGCTGAGAGGATGGATGCATGTGCTTGAAGAAGCATGGGGAGGATCTCCGGACCGCATTCTAGATGCTGTATGTCATGGGAACATGAGAGTTAGAGAAGGAAAGTGGCTCGCCTGCGAGAAAAGGGTCTAAGGAGGCAGGCAATCTTCAGGATTGTATCGAACTCCAGAGACGAAGAGAGGTGAATTCTTGTCGGCCAACTTTTCAACTCCAAGTTTCGGGACCTGATCAATAGTCTCAGATGGTCCGACATGAAATGCAACAACTCTGGTTCTGTTAGTCGTCCTACCTCGACGGAACCCACCTTGACAGACTGAGGCCGCGATGCCGAGTCCTCCTTCGCCACCAATGCAGCTGAAAAGTTCCTTCGGTAGCGCAGATAACGAAGACGGTGAATATCCAAGCCCCGGAATGAGATCATTGGAGACGATTAGTTGGAAGTACCAGTATCCGCAACCAACAACCGTAATTTTAACCTAGTCCAACCTCGATCACCCCTGAAGACGTTGTGCCTCGAACCTCTCACGTAGGATATCGATCTGTACGATAATAAGACGATAGCCGGGAATCGGGTGCCAGGTCCAGCGGATGCACATATCCCTGGCATTGGAGTTGTCCCCGTGATTCGAGAGCTGCTGTCCATGGGCTTGAGTCACGGAATCAACCAACAGACAACTGGTGAAGCCATCCTCTCACGACTCCACAACACCTGAGGATCGGCAGTAGGCGCTAACAGTTCGCTAAGATTCATCTCCCCTTTCTTGCTTTAGGGAGGATTCTGTCGACGTTAGCCTCGAGTGCGTGCGCTGCATTTGTTGCGCTTGTTTTCAAGTTCTGATCTGATTTTGATGCTCAGTTCATCAGACAACGGCAAAGCTTTGCAGCCCACACAATTGATGCCCTGATTTCCGAGCTGAGTGTCTTAAAAAATGTTCCACAGGCTGTCCAGATGTATTGAACTTTTGAGTCTTGGTGTAGATTGGACAGGCACCGTCGTTAGAGCTTACGTGTGTCATCTCCTAGTAACGGACGCGTACCTGAACGGTCCGATGAGGCAGAGCAAATAATATTTCAGAGGTCGGTTCAGTTGAAGAGAATGCTCACTCAAGCCAAGAGATCAAAAGGCTGAGTGAGGGAGGTGTTGGTTTGCCAAGGAGGATCGCCCTGGTCCAACGCTGGGTTGGTCCAACCTTGTGGGTTCATCCCCAGTCCAGCGGAGGTTGGAACCCAGGAATTGGGATGCAGAGCTGGGAGAGAAGGTTGAACATGGCTTTCGGAGTAATTGAACCATTGAAACAAGTCTTTCGGGTCTGATGAGCATATCGGAGGGCTTCATCCATGCAGGCTGTACACTCCCGCAGCGCCTCTGCTCTAGACCAGTCCATCATGTCTCTCTGTGGGTGTCCTCCGACCGACCGCAGAGATGCGCCGCTGGAGCTGGTGTCGGTGTGTGGGTGCCACATCCCGAAAGAATGAACTCCTGGCAGGATGAAACAGTGCAAGGAGGCCCCGGCTCCAGCGACAGGACGGCCCCAGTTCCTTTGCGGTAGTAGCCCCAGTCACTTGGCCTGGGCGGGAGCGCATTGTCGCCTGTGCCGTGGCCGATAAACCCATGCCAGGTTACGCTAGAGCTTGGCCGTTCAATCGGTGGTGGGTTGGGACAGTAGCGTGCCGGCCGGTTCATTAACGTTCAAGTCCTCCCTCGCCATCTTCTGACTGATCTGGTTCTGGCTCTGGTTCATCTTTCCATGCTCTCTCAACGACGTCAAGACCAGGCTTGGTCAGATCTCGTTCGGCCACTACAGAGATCAACAAGTTGATGTCGAGACGAATACCTACCTCCTCAGACTTGGCCTCATCACTCGCTTAAGAGGCCTGCCTGTCTTTCGTTCGTTTTCGGTTCGATGGCTCACTGGCGCCTGACGTACTAGGCGAAAAGATTCAGCATGCATCTACACACGGTCGCGTTACTCTCGATCGCAGCGCTCGTGCACTCCGTCGATGGAATTGTCGTGCGTCGAGGTGAGTTTTATTTGATGATGGAGAGGGGAAATACGAATTCATGCTAAAATCACCCTCAGACGTCGTGAACCGTGAGGCGGCACCTGCGCGCTTCCCCTTAATCAACAGCACCATAGTCGCGACTTCCTCAAGCGGCACCACCACTCGCTTACTTACACCATCAACCTCGGCACTGAAAACCACCACTTCCGTGCCATCTTCTTTCGCCTCCAGCCTCACCACTGAAGCTGCCAAGTCGGTTTCTTTAAAGGATCCTCTTACAGCTGGATACAAGGACCAGACTAAATCTTCCTCTGGCCCGTCGGCACAGCCTCACGTTGGCACCAAAATCATCAGTGCGCCCAACGATCACTCGTTTTCAAAGCATCACTCGCCTTCATTCAGTGCAATTCCGGCCAAAGCTCCTCCTTCAGAGGCCAACCAAGCCCCAGATACAGGGGCATCTCCCGACAATTCCAGGGGTTCGGGGAACAGGGCCAGGCCTCAGCAAGCGTCTGACCAGCAAGCGTCTGACCACTCCCTTCCAAACGCAGCTGTCGAGTCGGGGAACAATGCTAGGCCTGCGCCTGAGGCGGCCTCGACGGCCTCAGCACCCTCACGAGGCAGGGTGAGGACTAAACATGCTCCCGATCTCTCGTTCCCGACTACATCGGGCCTCAACAAGACCAGGACATCCACTTCAAGCAGCAATGAATGGTACGGTACCACTATTACTTTCGAGGGGAACGGCACTTTCACTGCGGTACCTGCAGTCTCTTCAACGCCTTGCACCAGTCTAGGAGAGTATGAGCCCGTTACCGTCTTCTCCATCGTCTATACAGCTACGACAACCTTATACGGCAACTATAGTGACTACACGGCACCTTATCCCGCCATCAAGACCCCCAACTACTGTCCCACTAGTTCTGGGACGTTTGGCGAGGAAGAGCCTACATCTGCCCCGAAGCCTGGACAACCAGAGCCACCAAGACCATCGGGAGGATTCGGTGTGACCACCAAGCGACCTGGACAGCCAGTGGAAACCTTTTCATCTTCTAGGAGGACTGTCACCTTTGTCACCACTGACAAGAATCCTGCCGTTGTTGTGACTTCAAAACCGCCTCCACGCTTCAACCGACCCACTCAGGGAGTCAATGGGCTCCCGATAAGTAGGAAACAGATGGCCCGTCCCTCTAATATGCCTCAGGATGGAAACAGTCACCAACCTGGGGGAGATAACCAAGACGCGAGACCCCAGCAACGGCCTGAATCACAGCCGCAACAACAGTCTGGATCACAACCGCAACAACGGCCCCAATCACAGTCTCAACCACAGCCTCAACCTCAACCACAACCGCAGCTAGGGTCACCAAGAACCTTCAGCGTGACTGCCAGAGGTCCAGAAGTCATTATCAATGACCACACCTTTTCGGATCTGAGGCCAGGCCAAACAACAACGGCGACAGCAGACCATGGAACATTTACTATTTTCCCCTCCAAGGTTGTCGGTGAAGGGGCAACAGTCAAGAAACCACAACCTTTGGGAAGCGTGGTCTCGGCTGCCACTCCTACCCAAGCCACAATCGGAGGAGTACCCGTCGTTGTTTCGGGATCAGAGGCTGTCGTTGGCAGCACAACATTCAAGCTCCCTTTTGTTGGTATATCGACGAGGATCGAGGTTCCTGTGGCTGGTGCCACTGCAAGAGTAGAAGAACGGCCTGTCTCTATTGTGCCGGGTACAATCGTGGTGGATGACGAGACGCTCACTTACCGCGCAGTCGGTGCACCCCAGACGGATGTTATCATACAGGGAGGCGAAATGGTTACTGCGTCCGGGGTGTCTATCTACGTCTTTCGTTCTACAACCCTCACATATGGACCAGGCATACCAGCGACAACCCAAGTCGTCGACGACGACACCATTACCATTGGGCCTTCTGGTGTTATTGTCGAGGCAACCACACTTGGTGGTACCAGTGCGAAAGCCACCGATACCAAATACCAAATCGTGGGCGGTGCCACCATCACAAAGGTCAGCCCCTCATGGGTAATCATCGATGGGACAACCTTTACAGCTGGGCCTGGCGCCAAGAGTACCACGAAAGTTATTGGCGGCGAGACCGTCACCATCGGTCCTAGCGGCATTGCCATTTCTACTACACTTACAGTCCGATACCCATTTGGAGCTTCAACTGTGACTACGATCAAGGCCACGGCAACAGGAACAGGAACAGACAGCCTGCCTACCGAGACGGGAAGTACCAACAAGGAGGCGAAGAAGAAGGGTAGCAGCGAAGACGATGAGGACGAGGACGA